ATATTAAAAGAAAATTATAGATACAACTAAATAGACTTTTAGTTTACCTCCCAGATGTATATATGTATCTTGGCAAGCAATATTGGTACTATAAGTATAGTTATATAACTACCGCATGGTATAACCATAATTCAGGTACTTATCTACGTGGTATGGTTGGTGGATTGACACTGCCGTGATGGAATAGATCCACACGTCCACAGACCCGAATTGGTGAGGTTTTGTCAATGTTGATTTTATATTTTGGTGAAAATAACATTAAACCTTCCCAAACGACTTACTATTAGAGCTTTCTCGCGAGTTTCTGAGCCTCCGTAGCATATTTGCACCGCCCTCGAATGGCATAACCATGCTTGTAGAATATAAACGGAAATGGCAGACAAAGCAGAGTCAAGAACGCGGGAACGGTCAATGCCCAATGTATCCCAAGCGCTGAATACATGTATGGAGTAAACAAAGGGAATGCAGCCCCACAGATTGAACGAAGCAACGTGGCCGAAGCGAGGACGGAGGCGGCGAAGGGAACATATGCGTCAATTAGATAGTTCAAGACACTCAGACTCACAAGGACCATTCCAAAGCCAAATAGGACAGTTGCTATGATGCACACAATCCATGGTACAGACGGTGCGTTTGTCCATGCGAACCAAAACAAGGCGATCGTTAAAGACACAGCCCCTATCATGCTCGGTGGCAGACGTGCCTCGGGAATCTCCATATTCCCCGACTGTCCCATGGCATGGAGATAGCGCTTGTTATCGAAGGCGGCATAGCCAGTGGCGCACAGCACCCCAATAACGATGCCTAGGAAGGGTAAATTTCCGGTCCCCTCGTCCCATCCTCTGGCCTGCTGAAAGATCACTGGGAAGGCGGGAAAGAGCATGTATAAGGTGCCGTATATGATAGCCATGTACAGCGAGAGAGTGAGAACAATAGGCTCGCGTATCAGGAGCACCCAAGGACGGAAGAGGGCAGTGTGGAAAGTCTCCGCAGAAGAGGGTCTTTCGGTCCTTTTCAGCTCGATTTTGCTGGCAAACGCCTTCCCCGTGCTCTTCGAAAGGCTCCGCGCTCGAGCCCGAAAGATCACCGGAGCATATGTTTCAGGGACGAGCAGTCCAGCAAAAATCCAAACGACCCCAGAGAACACACATGTCATTCCCTCTACCCATCGCCAGCCCTTCTTCATCGCAAGAAAGCCGCCACAGATGGGCCCTAAGGCTGGGCCCATGAACGGTGCACTTGTGAAGAGAGCCATAGCGAGTCCTCGCTCTGACGCAAGGAACATGTCTGCAATGACCCCTCCTGAATTGGATAAAGGCGATGCCCCGGAGGCACCGGCTAGGAAGCGGAGTATCACCAGAGAGATAATGTTTGGTGAAATGGCACACCCAACATTAAAAATCGTGAAGGCTCCAAGGGACAGAAAGGCCAGCTTCTGCCTTCCATAAATTTCCCCCAAGGGAGCCCACAGCATGGGCCCGACAGCAAAGCCCACGACAAACAGTGAGAGACTGAGTGCCGCTACTTCAGCGCTGATATTCAGGTCCGATTTTAGTTCTTTCGTGGCCCCAGACAACGCAGAGGAGGTGAATGAAACGGAGAACGTCTGCAAGGAGACAAGGAGTGTGATTGCCCATTTTTGATATGGCGAGAACAACTTCGGGTTGCGGGGGTCAGCGGGCAGCCAGTCGACAACGAACGGGTCCCTTTCTATTCCGGAGCCATCATATGCCCAGTCCCTAACTTGGGCAGTGATACCGGCCGGATCGCACACTAATCTCCAATGGGGCAGTGGCTGAGTAGGTGAGTGGTTCGTTTCTGTCATTGGTAGTGTTTCGTCCAAATTCAAATTCAAACGTTGATGGTTGCAGGATGCTCTTCCTCTCTGGTTCCAGGGGTTATTATATATATAGTACATATTCAGACTCGAACTCAGTCCCAATCGCTCCCAGCGGCAGACATATTCAGAAACTGGGCGACGAGTGGCCCCTATCCATTGGGTTGGCAAGGTCGGCATGATTATCGAAAGCCACAGGTGGGACTCGGCTTTCGGCTTTCGGCTTCTGAACGCTAGAAGTACACAGCTGCGGAAAGGATCATAGCCTTTCTAGCGGGAATCAGGGTCTTGTGCCGCTCATCGAAGCTTGCGACTGGGTGTCCTTCTTCACACAGGTGCCCATCTAGCAATGAGGAACCCTGTATGGCCCACTGTTTCCACTTAGGAGGATGTTGTGATGGCTTTCGACTTCATTCCCCGAAGCCGCAATTTGCGCACGCAACTATTTAACAATGCCTCGAGAACCCTCCTTCTCTCTCACGTTCTCTTTTATTTTTCCTTATTCACACCAAACGAATCCAGCCTATATTACCTTTGTTTCTTTTCCCTTTTGATAAAAGCTTTCCAAGGCTTGGGCAATGTCTGTGTCGGGGCCTTCAGCTGACTTCAATGTCCTGATCGTGGGGGCTGGTGCGTGCATTAAAGAGTAGTTACTGCCGGAGGAGACTAACGTCTTATAGGAGCTACTGGCTTGCTCATCGCACAGGGTCTTAAAAAGGTCTGTCTTGCACCGATTCTATAACCATACGTTGCTGAAATACATTTGCTAGGCTGGGATTTCAGCGAAAGTTTATGAAAGATACCCAGAACAGAAGTATATTGAGAGATCGGGTCAATGGACCATGGCCCTGCATTGGTCGATTCCTCATATCGAAGCCTGCCTCCCGTCCCAATATTTTGCGCAGTTGAAGTCGGCAGAGACAAACATCTTTGAAGAGCATGACCCGGACGTAGCTGAGAACATCCCCATCCTTAATGGGAGTACCGGAGAGCTACTGGCAACGGTGCTCATGCCGAGTCCAAGGCGCATCGTGAGAGGAAAGCTGCGCGACCTTTTCCGGCAAGGAATCGACGTTCACTTTGGACAGGCGTTGACTGGCCTGCATGTCGGGCCAGATGGCGTTACAGCGCGTTTCAATAATGGGGAGACGACTGCCAAAGGAACAGTGCTCATCGGTGCCGACGGGGGTAAGCACAATCTTTAGGCGATGATGCCACTTCCAATGCAGGTTTTAATTCCGTTTCTCAGCTAGAAGCGCAGTCCGAGGACATCTTGTGGAGGGAGAGGTTGGCCAGCTCTCTAAAGCCAACATCATGATCCTGGTTAGGCCCCGACCTGCGACCTTGAGGCTGACCAAGGCGAAAGTTAACTGGAAATATTCAAGAGTGCGTTCCCAACGTTCACGAAGGACCAAGCGCTGTTTATTCGAAGCAAAAGCCACCCGCTCGTTCAGGTAAGTAGCAGCGCCTCCACTCGTGACGATTGTATTGCTGATCACAACCCCCTGGGCGCAGCTAAGTCCACACCCATACCACAATACCAATGTCTTTTCTACTGGTGTGTAACCGGAATATACAATCGTGGGAACCCATATTAACCCGCTCAGTGGCCGATATTCGGGACCCAGATGCACCGGACACTTGGGTTTTCCAGTTTACCCTCTCCATTTGGACTGACAAAAACCCTCCTGCCTCGGAGGAAGAAAGAAGGCATCTTTTCCGAGCCTACCTTTCTACCTACTGTGAACCCTATAGGTCTGTAGCAGCATGGCTAAGTGAGGATACTAAAATTAGTGGAGAGAAGGTGAGTAATGGCTTGAAGATATGAGAGTAAGGGTTGGTCTGGTTCTGAGTCGCGTCTAGTTTCATTACTGGGGAAACATAGCTCCTTGGACAAACCATGGTGGTAGAGTCACGCTCGCCGGCGATGCGGCACATCCAATGGTTCCTTGTAAGCCGCGCTTATGTGCTACACTGTGAACTCACGTCGGACTAATCCTCTACAGTCCGGGCACAGGGTCTGAACAACGCTCTCGAAGATGCCAGGCTTTATGTTGACGCTCTCAAGAGGGTTGTCTATGAGGGACAAGACCTAAAGTCAAACATCAAAGCTTATGATGATTCCACCTACAAGCGAGGCAGCATGGATATCAAGCTTTCTAACGAGCAGATGTATGCGTACCATCATTGGGATGTTGTTATGAACGGGCCTCTGATGCGCGGAGGATACAAAAAGCAAAAGCCGGGTGAGCAAGTATACCCGAACTAGGGGACTACTGCTAGGACAGAGAAGATCGGTGACATCTTGAGCACAAGTCTGACCAGTTACTTGTACCAACGCACACAAAAGCAAACCTGATTCCCCTCTATTTGTCTAAAGGTCCATGAGTGCTTAAGCCTTTGAAGCCATACTCCCCGTGATCTACCTCAAAACACAGAAAGTACGACATTGGATGCTTATAATCACGATCAATACAGAAGGTTACGCCGAAGTTTCAGGATTCGATCAAAGGGCTGCCGGAATATTCCCAAGACAACGGAATTCTCCTTGGTCCTGGTTTCGGCTAGATTACCTGACAGTGAGATATTTATAGTTAATCGCCTCACTGCCACCAATGGTCACCTCATGCCCTCGGCGTAGCCGTTTCGCTGGCGCCTACGCCGGATTTAATTATCTTATAACCGTAAAAAGATACTAAGTCCATCGTCTAAAATGCTCAGAGGACCACAAGAACGCGGCTTCTTCTACTTTACTTGTTATGTGATATAAGCCATCGCTTAGGACGGCTGGAGAATGATACGCCGGATCTTCGACTATAGTAACGTATCTTCGGTAAGATTGAAAGGATAGGGAATTTCGGATCATGGCAACCTCTGCGGTGGGCGAAAGGACAGACTTTACACTCCAAAACAGGATCATCGAGAAGCCGCCGGCATTGCAAGGCTCCAACTCGGTCAGAGCAACCGACCTCAGTCTCGGTCTCCGATATGGGAATGACCCAGCCTTTCCCCCGACACCAATGGCCTGTATCTAATATGGTATGCGGCCACAGACGCAGTCAGATCAATCGACTGCCCACGAAACCAAGTGTACCTTAAACTCAGGATATCAGTCATTGTTCTTTTGCTATGACCATTGTATTCTAAAAATGCGGCATATGCCGCTAGATCACGCGGGTCTGCTATGATTTTGGAATCAGCCTGGTAGTCGAGATCCAGAGACGATGCTTTACAAGTTCGGATTACGATAGCAATGTCAAATCGTCCAGAGTTGGCTGTAGCTCGTTCCACGTAGCCACTAATACTTACACGCTTTATTTCCGGGCTTTGCGCCGTGTCGGAGGAAATCAGGTGTTAGGCTCGATCACAGCAACGATGGATATGTGACGGGGATTACCATTGTCAAATTTTCTGCTGTATCTCTACCAACACAATATGAAGTATGTCCTACATACATTAGAGAGGCAATCCTTTTTTTTCTTGCTTTTTCTTGCCCAGCCGCCGCCCTCGCCCCGAGAGACAAAAGTCTGCCAATTAGATCATCGGTACACAGTGTCCCGTAGTGGGGCCTGCCGACAACTTATGGCGTTCAAGACCTCTGTCGATTCTCGGCAGTAGCTAGAGCCTATGAGCCTTTTGCCTACCAGTTCCCAGTCTAGTGGCTTCCAATATATTGTTCTATTGACGCTTGACTGCTCCCTTATTTCCTCTTTATTGCTGTTATCGAATCGACAAATATCACTGATAAAGTGTAATACATGGACTACAGGGTTTGGGGAAGGAGCTCGACTATATATCCGTCCTGTTCGGTTGTAAGTGAAAACTTGTCTCATGTGGTGACAGAGGAGAGCATAGGGAAAACGCTATGGTAACTCACGGGATCCTTCACCAAAGCGACATGGTAAAAGTTCTTTCTGTAATTTGGATGCAGCTGTCCAGTGCCAACAGCTCGATCCTCTTCCCACGGCGTCAAGGGGATATGCTCACGCTCAGCCGCGCCGAGCTCTTTCATCACCTCCACGCCTTCTGCTCGGAGTCGTTCCACGGCCTGATGTACATCAGGAACCGTGAATCCCAAATGCCCGAATCCCAAATGCGGCGGTTGATTGCCCGTAGACACTTCATATCCCCCTTCCTCTGCCGGTTTCTCAGTCCCGTGGATATGCTTCAGCTCCAAAAAGCCGAGCGTCTTTGGAAGTACACCCGGTGCAGTGAGCTTTGTAGACCAGCCGTGTAGGTCGGCGCGATCGACTGGTGTCTGGGGATATCCCAGGTAGTATACCGTAAATGGCCCCCCGTTGAACGTAAAAACCAACTGCATGCCCATGAGGTTGGTATAGAAACGAAGGGAACGCACAGGGTCTCTTATGCGGAGCATAAAATGGTTTAGTTGATACCCAATGGTTGGGTCATCTTCGGGCAGGGTATGATGTGTTCTGTGGCCTCCTACCAAGAAGCTGCCTGGTTCGGCCGGGCGAACTGAGGAGGAGGAGGAGGAGGAGGAGGAGGAGGAGGAGGAGGCTGGGTCTTGCGAGGTCATAGTGGGAGTTGGAAACGCCGACTCTGTACGGCTGGGATGACAAGGAATGGCACACTATACTAGCGTTGAACGAAGCCAACAACTCTTTATATAGTGCCATCAAATATCAGTACACCTAGCTCCTAAGGACTCGGCTTTCTTCGCCTTTCGAGGGATTCTTTCGGCTTACAATTCTGGCTCCGAAACTCCGGTCCAGGGGTTCCATTTTGCAGGTTGCCGTGTTGCCGGTGGTCCCCCCGTATAACTCCTGGTTTCCAAGTTCTTCCCATCAGCCAGGCGCTCCCAAGCCGATTAGAATTTCTTTTGCTTGTTTGCTTTCCCTTAGTTTACTTTCCAAACTGGCTTTAGTCACCACTCAACAAATTAACTATGCCTATGTACTTATGACCAACATGACACGATGGAGAGCAGATGAGATACGCGCTTGAAGAAGTAGGCAATGAAGAGTGTTAATTTTAATTTATGGTATGGCTTCTGTATACCGGTGCCGGAAGGTCGAAGCCTACGCCTACATCCTTGTCAGCGCTCTCCGCCACGCTGTGGTTAATCGACTTTGGACATGACGAAAGAAGTTGCTCCTTGTATGCTATAGCCATATGGCGTACTAGTAGGTAGTCTGATTACCGACGCTGGTGGTTGAAAAGTTTCTAAGATATGACGATTTGTAGCAAAGATAATGCGATTCAGTGGTATTCGTAAGGTATTGGGGTCATGTTAGCTAGCATTACCTTAGATGGTTGGCTTAATGGCGTAACCTGTCAGTTAGTTACCAGATAGGTAGTTACCGCGACGCACAAAAGGTTTACCCCCTCTATACATGGGTTCAGGGGCCTGATATCAAGTTTCTCCCCCGGTGGGAGTGGCGGACGTTCCTTCAGGTGGGCCAGCCGTTACCTCGTACGCAATTCATGCCCTTAAGCGCAATATGACGAGTGGCACAATGCTTTCCCATACTGTACGCAGCATGGCAGCCTTAACCCTCTACCTGCCTGGTACATTGCGTCTCGCAATCGTCAGATGCGTTGCAATAGAAGCCTTCAACTCCTCATCCGGAAACCGCTTCTTCTCCGGTGGCAGAGGACCCCTCGGCCGAGCGACAATATCGTTTAGCAGGGCTGCAATTTGCCCGCGTCCCTAGTGGAATTATAGCAGATCTCATTGTGAGTGAGCAGTGCTCTGCGTTGACTCTCCCATTTGTCCTGTGGGTAATTCAGATTTCCTCCCCGAGCCTCCGGTTCATTCCAAGCTGATGATCTCTATCAATGAGCAGGTACGCTCTCTTCCAAGCTCTGCTCGCCCCAGCACTTCATCTCAGAGCCGATCCGGCAATGCCGAAGTTAACCCCGCAAACCCAGAAACAGGCTCAGCCTATGACTTCTAGCTCCTAGCAAGCAACATGTTTGGAAATGAAGAGATGAAGCTTCTGGAAAGTGCAGCTTTAAAATACACGCTTGCTGTCAATTTTTCCGAGTGGCTGCAATAAGAGCTGAGTGGATGGGGGGGGCCGGCACAAAGTATGGTTGAATTCGGACTGTCTTCGAGATGAACTATGAATTATACTGCTGTAACAATACAATTCTACACCACAAGGCCTCCTGGGGAATGAAGGGTGTCTTGTTGCGTTGTCGGAACACCGTCAACTCACTGAGACTATGCCCTGTCGGTCGGTCACGTATACATCTCATTATAGGGTTTCTCAAACCACGAGGTCACCATCTAGCAAATTTATTTACTGATAATCCCCATGGGCCAGGGCGCACTCATATCTTTCGGTAGGCTATGTCCAACTCCCTTTGTATTTAATATTAATGTGCCTTCAAAATGAGGAAGATCGTTGAGATTATCTCGGTGTTGGTACCCTACGCTTGGGGTCCCTGTGTGGCTCTTGAGAAACTACACAACTCCCTTCCCTCGACCCGCCTTAGTGTATCTGTCCTTCTCCGACAGACTTAGTGATCGACACGAGTCTGTCGCAACATTTAGCTTTTCCGTCGGCTATCCATATGCGGAGTACGGAGTAACGTAGTCCACATCCGATATACCCCCATCTGACACCTTTGGACGGCCGGGCACGACAGTGCTAGCCCCCCGCGTCATGAGACTTGCGGGGTAGGAAGTTCTGCTTGTGGGGAATTGGGGCCAACACGGTTGGGGGCTTTGAGTTCGACAATATGGAAAGAGGAAGTAGTAATATAGAAAGGCAAGGTCGACCTCCCGGCGTCCCCAGCCATGCTAAAGTGAACATCCTGCCAAGTTCTTCCCTTGCTTTATCGGACCGAAGTCTTGCGTCAACCGAAGCTCAGCCATGCCCGCCAAAACAGCCAACACCATCTGGCCGGATAACATCCCAGGAGCCGTCAAGAACACGGTTGAAGAATTTTTCGAGCTCCTTGATGGCTACACCCCGCAGGCGGCAAGGCAATGGAGCGAGCTTTACCTTCCGACAGGAGAATTTGAGGCTTTCTGTAAAATCTTCAAAGGTCATGAAAGTGAGTCGGTTCCCTCTGTACTTTCCTATTCATACGGCTCCTTCCTCCCCAGCCCTGTCTTGGGTTTTATCCGACCAATGGAGGCACTAACGTGGAAGATGCGCTGGAAGTGATTCGGAACCACATCCTCAGATTTTGGTCCTCATTTCCCGGTCTAAACCACATTCCGAAAAAGGTCTACCTTCATCGGGTTGATGGGCTTGAGATAGCAGTCGCCAGTGATTATGAGATCACATTTCCGAATGGGATTCATGTCAGGGGCGAGTCAGTAGCGATGCTGGAGTTTGTAGAACGAGATGAAAGGCTGTTCCTCTCGAGTAATAGGCTCATTTTGGTACGTGGTACACCTCTGGATGTTGTTGTACTTTCTGTCTTTGGCTTTTATTTGGTCCAATTCTATCCCTTTTCTTACTTAGACTTCCATTTACTTATTAGGGCTCTCCCATAGGATCCGAATTCTTTAATGGCCGGGCTTGAGGCTCAAACTTCAAGCCAGACACCCCCCCAGTCATTCTCTCAAGATAAACCTACCTCAGTGCATACAGAGAATATCGTGGACGAGGGGAAACTTGATTCTGCAGTGTAATTCGTACCTGGGGTTGCCCGACGGTCCTGACCTGATCTGTGAAATTCCATTCTAATCCGAGGGGTACTCGTGATGAAAGGGTCAGGTCTAAAGGGTTAAAGTAGTAAATGTTATACCGCATTATTATGAATGCTAAGCATAATGGTATTAGCCCACATCACGGAGAGATGTCAACTTCGGCAGTAACTACTAATAGGGGTTCGCTCTTTATGTAAACCAATTACTTCCTGGCAGCGCTGTTTCACCACCCAACACATCTCTAGCTGCAGGACAGCCACTCTCGTAAAGTCCAAACAAGTATTCAAGTAGGGATGTTCCCGCTCTAAATCTAGTTACTCGGCCGTTGGGAATGATAGAAAGAAAAGGGGCGGTATCCAGTGGTGTGCCTACAGGAAAGATTGGTCCAAGTTTGATGACTCCTGTGGCAAGTTTGACTATAGTATACATAAGTCGATAAGGCCCCAGCCAGTAACGCCACGAAATAATACAAAAACGAATGTCAACAGCCCTCATGACCCCCGTAGTTAAAGTGATCGTGGGCAATAGTCGTTTCTCCTAGGCTTCCCATCAATCGTACCCAAGAGCTTAATACAACCATCCTCGAATATCACAGGCCCTTTGGCGAAAAGCTCGCCCTGATCTGTCTTCTCGTAGAGATTATCGACGAGTCGTCTGGCATCGGCGTCCAGATTCGGGAGATCCTGCCACTTCCATTGAAGCACCCCACCGTACTCGACAGGTAGATTGGCAGGGTCAATATATTTCCTCAATACCCCACCAGCTTCCGATGAGGAGAGCAGGAAAATCTTCGACCGCGTGACAGGATCAAACCATTGACTGATGACGTCCCAGATGGATTTGAAGAATGCAGGGGCACCAACGACCTATCGCGTATTCTCCCCAGTTAGCACCAATCTTAAAACATCATTCGGCCGGTGAAAAGGGACGGTGTCGTTTGATCAACGTACAAATACCTTGCCCAGGGTCTCTGGGTAATGAGTCGTGGCAGTGGCACTAGCTTGTTGGAGATACTTGCGAATGCCCCAAAACTGGCGAATGCTCACCCCACTCACGTCGACAACATGGGTGGACGCGCTCACAGCTCTGGATCTATCTGCCTTGGCAGTTCTGACACAAGTGGCAATACAAAGTGCAGCAAGTTTTCGTAGAGAGCATGGAAGTGAAGCTCTTCCGGTAACAGGTTCGACGGACGGTGCGCGTTCGATGATGGGCAGGCAGCAATTTTCTTGAGGTATGCGTCTAGTCGCTTTTTCGTTAAGTGTCGAACCGGGAAAACATAGATGGCATGTCCATCCTTATCGGTGCGGCCGATCCATTGGGGATACTGGCATTCCATCACCTGTTAGATACAATGTCACGGATGGTGTTCGGGGGTCTCTTATCTGATGGTATAGTACCATTTTTCTGGTTTCTTCGTAATAGTCCACGTCTACGTCCTGGTAAAAGGACCGAATCTTGTTTTCCTTGCGCCATGTTTGGACATGATGAAACTGTTGCAGGGCTAGGTCTGGGTTGAATTTCTGAGCAGTCAAAAACCGTCTGTGCGGACATGGCACGTTAGCGATAGGACATCATCGCAAGGGTTTAGGGGACAACGGGTCTGTTTGGACTGTCATACAAGAGAGTGGCGTCATCTATGTTTTCTTCTGGGTAGGAAAGTTCATAGCCTTGTTGTTTCAGCAAGCCCTTGAACATGTCAAGCTGCACCTGTAAAGCCGGCGAGAGCCCTGTGGAGGCCGCAGTGGAGCCATCAGTGCCGACATTGCATGACCCGCGCGCGGCGCTAGGATTAGGGCCGATAGGCTCACGCATGGGTGTTGACGTCGCACAGGACATGTTAGAATAGATAATAAGGGTCTCGTTTCTCTAGATAGCCACTTGGAGATTGCATGAATTCTATGAAGACAAATTTCGCTGCAGACGTCTGCTGCCACTGCCACCCTCTAGACTTTATATGATTCCCCAGCGTGGCAAATGCTCAACGAGACGGTTTTCTAGAATTCAACCGTCGAAAAACTGGACTTGAGATTATCAAGCATCCTCTATCGTGTTCCGAGGTTCGTCATCGGCTGTGTAATATTTGATTGGCACTACTATGGGAAGCAATGAAGAACAGAGCAATGATGGACCAATCAGACGGTCGGTTCATATTACTCCGAGAGATCGGCATAGGAGGAATCTCGCCAAGTCAACTCAACCAGCAGGCTGTAGTTAGTTATAGAGACGCTTATTATGTAAACAATGTCTAATAACTAAACGTTCTGGAATACAGAGATGGCCACCTCAACATATTACGTGACTCTCTCTGCACCGTTGGTCTTGTAAGGGGCCGAACCGGGTGTAAAGTCGGGATGTGTGGCAATTGAAATAGAATCCCATCCGATGCAGACACAGGCTGCTGGTACTATGCTGAACAACCCCTTCGGGGAATATAAATGGAGGTATGGCTCGGTCATCGTCTGCACCACCCGCTACGCTCTATCAAAGAATACTACCAGCAGCGCGCTGCCGTCCCCGGTACTCTATTGATCACCGAAGCTACGGTTATCAGCCCACGACATGGCGGCTATCCTAATGTCCCCGGAATCTTCACGGATGGACATGTTGCTACCTGGAAGGAAGTGACAAAAGCAGTGCATGACAAGGGTTCATATATCTCTTCTTCAGCTGTGGGCTCTTGGTCGGGTGTGGAGATCCACGGCGCAAATGGATATCTGATTGACCAATTTATCCAAGATATCTATAACAAGCGTGATAATGCCTAGGACGGAGACATTGAGAGGTGTTCTACGTTTGCTGTTGAAGTGACACGAACAGTGGTGCAAGATATCGGGCAGGAACGGACAGCGATTCGACTAAGCCCCTGGAGCCGCTATCAAGATATGCCCATGGAGGACCCGGTGTCGCAATTCACGGGGCTTCTTACGGTATTGGTGCAAGACAAGCTGGCTTACTTGCATCTTTTGCGAGTCTGATGCAAAGGCAGACAGACATTTGGGTTAGCTACTTAATGCCTACCAGAGTGCGGGCCCAGGTATTGTTGCTGGAAATTACAGTGGCGAGACGACTGCCACGGCGCTGGAGGAGCAATAGAAAGGTCACGATGTGGTCATTGCCTTTGGGCGGCCATTCACTGGGAATCCAGACCTGGCTTTCCGTGTCAGAGAAGAAATTCCTTTTGCACCGTATGGTCCCCAAGCCATGTATGCGCAGGCTGCGGAGGGGTACACGGATTATGCGTACAGCAAGGAGTTCGAGGCTACTACTACGTCTACGTAACGAAGACCATACAGAATGGAAGACTATATAGCTCCCATCTTGCAAATTGTGACAAGACATTAGGGACAGCTTTTACACTTCAAGTCGTCATGATCTTGACTAATGAATTTAAAAAAAAAAATGACCTTAATGAACATACTGAAGTACCATGCCCTTCCGGTCAACTGACAGAGCCCTTGGCTTCTGTATAGGACACTGACCCTAAATTCCGAATGGCATCTCTAGTCCAGTGCCATTGTTAAAAGCCAAATAATCAAGGTTAACCTGGAATCCTTCATCGATCGGTAATGAATTCCAGTCGAAGATAGACAAGGGAAAAGCGGCAGCACCTGGTTGGACCTGCGTCGAGAGGATGTCTTCCAGATCACCCTCTGCACCTTCTGGGCGCTGATGAAACGACTCAACGATGGACAAGAGTTTGTGCAGCAGCTTTCTGCTCCGAATAACGATCCAGGTACTAGACCCTAGGGTCTCAAGCGTGTCGTAAGCCGTTTTCAGACTGTCTAGGAGTTCACTGTTGGTACACGTCGGCCGCCCTGGGAAGCCGCGCATTGGTAGCAAAAAAGTAGCGAACAGAACGAGGGCAGAATTGAGCACTGTTAATGGTCATTAGTTTACTGTACTAGATCCTCGAGTGTATACCCTGTAGCTAGGGCAGAATGCTTCCATACCGTAGTAGACGGAGTACCACCAGATGGGGAGCAAAATGTGATGATGAGCAACGCTGGCAATAACGAAGATTGTATCCCGTGCGGACTGGCTACACACCTCGACACTACCCTTTATGATAGTCCACAGGAATTCTGTCACGCCAGGCTCGGAGAATGTCGAACTACGACAGACTAAGAGCCATTCTAGTATTTTTCGATGTAGCAGGGTGTTCAAGCTGTGATATCGAAGACTCAAGACCACGCGGAATCTCAATAACTCAGAGCTGGAATCAAGGGCAAGCTTAGTGATGTTAACGCTGTTTAGGATTTCGATACCCATAGGGAGGCCAATCTTCCACTCCGCTATCTGCTGGTCAATATCCATGACTACATGAAGTTGCTTAGAGAGAGGAGTTGGGGAGGTCCGCTCCATGTTGCTTCCATATAATTGTTCTATGACTTGACCTAGGATGATATTGAGCTTCCTGGACGAAGGTCTGTATTAGTGAGCGCGTAATCAATGTGAAAGAAGGGAAACCCAGGTTGACGGGGAGATTTATCCTCACGATGTCTCGAGATATAGCCTTGCTCCGGACGCGGTGGGGCCCGCACTGTTGGCGCTTCTACGCTCCAAGCTAACGGCGAGCGCCTCTAGAGGCACATCTAGAGGAAGTTCACATTCCATATGACTATTGGGAATCAGCGGTGGGCGGCCAAAGGTCATACTGCACATTCTTGCAGAGAGGTTAGCAGAAACGTCCCACGTGATCATGGCATGGATATAGACCTTACTTGTCCATCATGTAGCACATCCACCAGGTGCGCTTGCGCACTTCCGCTTCCAATGATCCCATCTCCAGGCTGTCAACCGTAGGTTGCCTCCAGAGCCCGATCTGAAGGGCGTCTTGTATGGCGAAGTTGGCGATACTCCATGTCAGAGCCGAGCGCTGCGTCCCTTGCACGTACTGGGCCACTAACAACGCGGCCTGAACTGAGCAAATGTAAGACTTTATACGGCCTTTATGAGTCTAGGCCGCCTCCTTTGCAGGTACATACCTGATTCCAGGGTCGGATCCCTGGGTCGCATTTCCACTAATAAATAGAGAGCTCGATGGAAAAATAGATTTCCCTGCGATAGTTTGTCGACGGTGCTCGACGAGTTGGATGGGGAGTGAATGGAGGCGAACGCCATCACCATATTCAATACACACAGGTGCGCTCGATTGGCCCGGGATGGGTCTACTGGCCTGGAGATGGAGTTGAAGTCAATGATCGTCGCTAAGGGTAGGTATGGAAACAGTCTACCCGTATTGGCAAAAAATGTGTCCACCAGGCTCATTACGTCCGGGCTTGGCGGGAGATAGAAAGGATCCACAGAGCCGTGAGTTGTAGACTCCTTATTGTCACCCTCCTGGAGTCCTTCGGCTGGAGGCGAGGATGGCTTTGAGATGTCCTGCGCACGCCTGACAGTCTGGCCTGCTCCAAACTGAATTTTCCTTGTCGCTTCAATAATACTACTGAAAAAGGCCGAGCTGGACGTGGGCCCTGCACGAGATCCAACGATCAGATTCAGGACGGACGCAGAGGAGAATGGGATTCATACCAAAGTATCCGGCAAACTTTTCACCAGCAAACGTAATTGCACACATTCCGTCGACGCTATCCGTGTTATAAAAACGCAGCTTCGGCAGCTGCATGTCCAGTAGTACCTGCGCCTCCGTGGTACCCACAACGTCCGTCGCGGGAGTATCCGGCAATTGTCCTTGGTTTAATTTAGACAGAAGCTGTCGGATGAGGGATTCCATGGCTTCAACTCGTCCTTGCAACGAAGAGGAGGAATGCGAATCTACCACACCAGCTCGGCCCTTGGCTGGCTCTTGATAATAGCATTCGAACCCCATCCCGCGGCACACATCGCACATTGGTCGAGCGCCGTTGCAGCGCGACTTGCGTTGCCTGCACGAGTCGCAGGCGTGGGTAGTTCGTTTCCTTTTCGTAGGCGTACTTCTGTCAAGGTTCATCACGTTCTTGATTCCCAGCTCTTCGGTACGATGCTCCTCGGGCATTCCGTTCTGTGAATACTCAAGATAAAAGAATGGAACGCGGGGAAAGGCGTTTCTCGGACGGCATTTGGGGAACCAAGAAGCTCCCTGGGGAAGCGGTCAACGAATGGCGATTTTCCTAGGCACGAGAGGACAGGACTGCCTCCTACGTTGGGCGCATCCACATTTCCATGGAGATGACGGCCGCAAACTACCTAGCTCGCGCCAATGATCGCCGACTTAGTGAACTGGGCCGCTGAGAGAGTTCCCAGCCGGCTCCACTCTGGGTAACGGAGTAGCCTACTCCGTTGCCTTTCCGCCACTTCCCCGGACCACTGGAAAGCAACCAGTAACCTGTCCTTGTCTCTACATTGCAAGACGGACTATTCGTGGGAAATGGAATCCAGGCGTTCTTCTGGCACAAGCGGTGTAAGGAGGGAGGGTAGCAATCACATCAACTGACCGTCCGGTCATGAGTAGAGGTGCATCACAGCCGATTCGTGACTGCCTTTTGACTAGTGAAAATCAAGGGTACGAGCTACATAGATGCCAAAGCTCACCCGCTTGGGAGGTCAAGGGCGTTGGAAATAATCTACGGCTCGCGCCAGCAGTGTTGCATCCGCGATATGAATGGGCCCTTGATAGGCGTACTTTCACAATGTAGGTGATGCTATACAATATGGTCATAAAATAACGCTCGTGGGTGGAAACGTCCGCGTTTTAGGCCCCATGTTACAAAGCGTCTTCCTCCTATATTTAGTACTGAACGTGATGGGAGATGACTTGGTTCATTGAAGCTACAGTATCTGCATGGATAACACTATCAATTTCTGTATTCTCCGTGACAACTCGGACATTTGGTCCATCCTACTCGATAACAGGAATAACCAGGTAGGATTCGTACACCGATCCGGAATAGATGGTGTGCCTACCCTTGTTCACGCTGTCTTCATGGAACTGGACAACATCTGGGGTAGTATGCCGGAAGGAATCGTTGCCTTGGACTTTGACTCTCAACCTCTCACCAGGGTGGAAAAGGGTTGAAGTTGGCAGAATTTCGACATCTATAGGCACGACTTCGTTGGGACGAAGCAGAAGGCGGCGATCGTGCTTGTGGAAAGGACGGTCGATAGTGGACTTGACCAGGTCAAGGTCACGATGGCTAACACGCAACCACCCAAGCCCCAATGGACCGTCGTCGATCATGGAGAAGGCAACATACGGCGTGACCTTGTTTTCCCGGTCAATCTTGTCCAATTGAACGAAAATATCCATGTCGTCAGCTAGATCGGTGGAAACCCACAGGCGCAGGCGCATGCTTCCAGTGAGTTCGGTCTCGCGGTCAAAATCGAGGAAGAAGTGCGCACAGCTGTCTTGCACCTCCGAGTCATAGGAGATGGTAGTCACAGTCCGTGGTGGCTCACCAAGGAGCGTACCCACCGAGGCGTCAATGTATTTCTTAACGAACTTAGCGTGGCTGAGGGGCCATTCAATCTCATCTCGGAACTTCCCAACCCAGGCGCGATCACGGATCTCAAGACGGACCTTAGGGTAGGTGTCAATTTCGCTGGCCTGACCCTTGAGAAACTTCTGGAAGAACGCCTCTTGGCGCCTAACACTCTCGGGCTCGAAGAAGTACCGCCACTTTTTACGGCCGTGGACCTCCAGCCACTTCTCCTTGGAGCTGATCCCAATGAACCCATTCAGGGTACCACGAGTGTGCATGCCGTGGTCGCCCCAGTCTGCGACGACATAGGCAGGTGCTGTGATTCTGCTGAGATCCTGAACACACTTCGAGCGATGATAGTCGTCAAGTAACGGATGTGCCTTGTTGTTGGCGATCAGGTCCTCGACCAGGTTGACACCGGCACGGCAGGACCACTGGGTGAAGTGCAGGAACTTTGTCTCCGGAATACCGCCATGGTGTGTATAATCGCGGTAGAAGTCAGTAAAGCCTTCCCAGGGAACGAATGCTGCCAGATGGGGCGGGTTCTGAGCAGCGATACCCCACTGCACGATGGAAAGGTACGAGACACCAATCATGCCAACCTTGCCATTGGACCAAGGAAGGGTGCCAGCCCATTCAATACAGTCGTGGCCGTCACGGCTCTCCTGCTGGCTGAAGATCTCTAGGTCACCCTCAGATCCCCAGGACCCTCGGCTGTCGCCATTGATGACAGCGTAACCCTTCTTGGTCCACACAACGGGATCAATACTCTCCCAGACAGCGTACTTGGACACCCATTCCTTGGGAACGTCAGCACCGGGGAAAATATCGAACGTTTTCGGGCCGTGTTTGCCGTATGGACTGAACGTGAAGATAATAGGAAGCTTGCCAGTGACGCCCTCAGGACGAAAGACATCAACGTAGACTCGAACTCCATCGCGCATGGTGACGGGAACATCCCAGGTAATATCCATGCCATCCGCGATCTCATTATGGTTAGGAATGAGCGGCTGGCGCCCTCCTTCCTTGGGGTCGATGCCCTTCTTCCAGTAGAAGGGTTTGACGCCGCAAGGGTTTCTGCCTGGTACCTCTTGAGTAGTACCTTCCATGATAGGTGTCGTTCCTTAGATAGCAATTCAAAAAGTTCGGGGGAAACAGTAAAATGGTCTTTTGATATTCGAGATGTTGAGATCTTTGAGCGAGGATTGTAGTCCCACTGGAGCGTCAGGGTATGGTGGTGTTTTTTATAACGCTCTATCATCCCGGCCGCATTGATAGATGGACTTCTGATCCTGACCAGTCGTCGGATCATCCCCACGGAGTTTACTTGATCGGACCCCTTGACCCCAGAGTTACCGGAATGACATTCCTATCTCCGATTCCAGGACTAGCGGCAGCTGGATTCCGTTATTTCCGGATCAGATACTTGGATCCGGACCGGGCTATTTCGGGTCGAGAACCGGAAAGCCAACGCCCCGGACCAAATCTGGGGGAATGGGTAGCTTCCCCGGACTCAGTCTCATGGGGAAGGGCTCTATGTATTATTCGCATAGCTTAAAAGTCTGCTGCAAGCTCATTGATCTGTCATCCCGTATGTCTCTTCCTCACTCTCTGCGGGTATCAACCATTCCATTCAGGATTGTAATCTGTAACTTCACCACACAAACGTTCTCTCCTTTGGTTCCTTCGGGAGAAAGAAAACGAGAATGGCCTCACATTCGGTGATATCAATTTCCCCGCAAGACACCGGTGTCTTCTCAGTCCCACGGGTTCCGGCTTCCTCCCGCACCACGCTCAACCAAATCCTCCAAGAGAACCATGAAAGATACCACCCTTTCTTCAACGATAAAGGATTTCACAATCACATCACACATTACATGCTTGCCTCATACGCCCTCGGGGCTGAGCCAGAGCAACTTTCGCGTGCCTGGGTTCAAGAGAAAGCCTTTCAGCGTCCCCAGCACACCCTCAACGAAGAAAATGTCGTCCGAATGAAGAACACGCAATTCTTCATCAGTTGCCTCGGCAAGGAAGAGTATTACCGCGATTTTCTCATATTCTTTCAACAAGAAATTGGTCAAAAGGGAACTGGCGCCGTGGTCAATCAGTATGTGTTTGATCGGACTGAGGTTTCTGAAGCTCTCTTCACTCGCCTTTTTGCAAGTATGTGGCGAACCCCATGATTATGGCGATGAATTGAATACAGCGGCTAAATATGTGGCACAGGCTTTCTTCATCCGCTTATCCACCTTGGTTATGGAGTAGAGTTTAACCAGCCGGCTATTGTTGCAGAAGCTCTCGCTCAGACCGCCGTACACCACAATGAGGTGGCTATCGTCATGAAAGGCTGTGAAGAAGCAGCCAACGGCCGGCCAGACCTCGCAACCCGGACGATGAACGAACTTCTGGGTAAGGTGCGGGATACCGATTCCATTCGCAACGCGGCCTGCTGGGGAGATGGTAGCTGGATCGAGGACAACCCATTGACATCTGCGCCAAAAGAACTCCTAGAGATAGCCGCTCGTTGGCGTGTCACTCAGGAGGAGCTGTTTGAAAAGACGGCGGAAATGATTAACGTCAACGCGTTCTTCTGTGGTGCAGCACAGAATCCGCCCAAGGAGTACAAGATTGATTTCTTCTTCATTCATAACCTTAACTGCTCTATATTCTTCCCCAGCTTCCTGCAGCAGAAATGGCTGAGTCTCGAAAATAAGGTCCGTCTGTTAGAGTGGAAGGGAAGGTTTGATATCGTCGCCTATGCTGCACGTGGATCACCTCACTTGGATGTCAATGAGATTATCGACTACCAACCAAAGAGACCCGGCACAGGTTGGGTTGATCTTTTCCAACGTGTCCATAGTTTTGACGATGACTCACATGTCACTAAGTTCTTACGCGCACTGGCCCATGGGAGTCGTTTCTGCCAGGGCTACGACATCATCAACGGTGATCGCTTCCCGATGAAGGGTGGCCTGTGGCTGCAAGTTGCACATATGGCCATGGATACTACCGAAAAAGAACCCATTGCGAAGAACCGGTGGGTTAGGGGTGCAGGATTTCCTTCGCAGTGGGACCACTTTCACTCCCGTCACTAGACCACTGAGATCTATATCGCCCCGTTTTTGTATCGCAATTAGCATTGTGAAATATGAGATTTTGTTTTGTCCAGCTGGGATACGTTAACTATTCTTAGTACGTTCTCTACGGTTATGCTCTTGTTTTTCGCGCCTCTGTATCTTGCAAATTATGCTCATTAAGTGCCCTCGTAACATTAAGGAAGTAGCCAGTATCTGGCTCAAAGATCTTGCAGTTTAGAGATGCGCTTCAGAGATTGGATGCCCTTTTAAAGCAGATGGTTTTATCGCGGTACTCGGTGGAAACGACGGTCTGGTTACAGTTTCGGCAGTTCATTGCAGCTACTAAGGTATTCCGCAAAGCTAGACCTAGAGCAAGCCTGAAAGAGCTTGTGCTATGCCACAATATACTATTCTTCACGTATTTGTTCTCTAATGGCATCCATTTTCTTGATGAGCATATACATCGTCCGCGTTATCCGAGGCCCTAAATCCATGACCATTAGAATGGAATGGTAACAGATGATAGACCACTAGCCCATATCTAACGCAGAGATAAGTATCGATCTCTTACTCCCTGACCCTTTATCCAGTGACAAATCAGTCTCAAGATTGGAAGACGGAAAAGAACCTTCCCGTGTGGTCTAACGAATGCAAATCACTGTACTCTCGTCTTAACCTATCCACGGCTCTAGCTAGTCGGTGCTATCTTGCACCTTGTGAGCATAACTCCTAAGCGAAATGCTCTTATTAGCACGTACTTGGCGGTTGGTTTCGGTCCAAGCTCTGGGCTCTAGTCTGGCCATAATGATCCGAAAAGCGGGTGAATGCGAATCACAGAGTTGAATAGCCACATTGACCCACCGGATAAGGGTTTCTTCGGCGATCTTGATAGGTCAGTGCCGAAACGCAAGCTACAGCAGTTGCGATGAACAACCCTAGGCTCATCTTCGGTTTGCAGAACCAAAGGGATAGGTAGCGAGTGCACCTCTTCTTATAGGAAGAGAAAGAAAGATTTCCCTATCAATAGACCTTTATGCCCGCTGCTTCTGACGCGGCCACTTACAAGTTGTTGGGTGTTTGGCAGCTATCGGCCCAGGAAGACCGGCCATCATAGACCCCATATGTAGCGCCAACCCTATCAGAATGGTAACTTTCCATGAGTGCGAGAGACCATGGCGTTGTCTGAACCACTGCCCCGTCCTCTGTCCACAGTCGGCGTGGCAGTACTTCGTAATATCGAGATGGCCGTCTCTTAGGTCAGCAGCCCCACCACGCACTTCGGCGTGTTGGTCTGCCTTAAGGCCCTGGCCCAAACAATAATTCCTATCTAAACAATAAATTTAAAGCTATTCAAGCTTCTTTG